TGTCGTCGCCATTCCGATCGAGAAAAGAGCCACTAAATTTAAATGCAATGATAACCTCAACTTAATAATTTCACCTGATCCACCCATTCCTTCAGAATCTTTAACTTTGAGTGCTTCTGGAACAGTAAAAAACGATGTTGAAGATGGAATAGTTGATGCTGATATACAAGTATTTAATAAAAATAATATATTGAATGACTCTTTCTTAGGCGGTGAATCTATGTTTACAGCTAAAAAAGGTGAACAATTTAATGCGACTCTCGATATTAGTCCGCTACCAGATAACTTTAAAATTGTAATGACTGTGACTGCTTCTGATGTTGATGGGAATATTTTTGGTTGTGCCAAAAAAACTTTTGATTTTTCAAATAAGAATTAATTACCACATTTATAGAATAATTGTGGACATTAATCTTTCTCTTTTTAGATACAGTAATACTTTGTTAAATAGTTTTATATAGGTTTTCTGTTCGTACTCATTTCATGTTGCAGAATATAGTTGATTTTAGGTCTTATAGCAACAGAATTTTATGTAAATAAGCAATTAGAAGCGGGCTTCTGTTTATAAATGTACCGTACTGGAATTTTGGTGTACTATATTACAGGGATGGTAAATGAACAGGTCATTTGCTTATTTTGCAAATGACCTGAAATGACTTCAAAATGACCGGTCATTTTGGTCATCTAATTTTTGAGTCATTTGAAAATGACTTGTGACCAAATGACCAGAGTCATTTGGGTCATTAGGTCATTTAATAAATTAAATAAATTGAAATAAATAAATCAAAAAAAAATCAAAAAAATAAATTAAATTTCACAATATCCGATTTCTAAACAGTTCGGCAGTTAAACTCACACATACGTACGCACATATGTATGTACTAGGGCAGCATGAGACAAGCCTGGCATGGGTACTATGTGTATGCGTGCCAGCTAGAGATGGGCAAATCGCGGCAAATCTGCAATTTTTGTGTCTGAAAAAAACCATGCAGAAATTATTACTGTATTGAAAATCAATTTTCTTATTCTACCGTAAATTTTAAAATAACACTATTCCCGAGAATTTACAGTAAATATGTTAATGAGGCCAGATATTATAATAATGCCAGCCATATGCTGGCCAGATAATTTTATCCAGGATCATATTAAAAATCCCACGTGTGCCCATCTTTAGTGCCAGCACTTGCAGAGCTCTATTTACATACCTGATACCTATTCCAAACCCTGCTTGAGTTAGTTTATTAATTGAGTATACGCGGAAACTTTTTTAAAAAAAATAAACATCCGATAATAAGCTACCCTTATTATCGAGCAAATTTTTTTGAAAACAGTAAACCCCAAAAATAAGCTACTCTTCTTTTTGATTCAAAATTGCTTTAAAAAAAAGTAATTTGTTTTATTATTCTCAAGAATATATACAGTATGACCCAATAGGTCATTTCGCTCTTTTAAATGACCGGTCATTGGTCATTATTCACTTGAGTCACGAGGTCATTTCAGATCATTTACCATCTCTGCTATATATATATCCATACAGTACACCCTTTATTGTATAAAATATAAATGTGTATTGTATCGAATAAAAAAATTATAAAATGACAGAACAGTACAGTATGTTAACCTTTTTTAATATTATTACCAAAAGCAAAATTTAAATTACTAAGTGCTACTGGGTTTACTAACTTCTTCCCATTTCCTATTGAACGAATACAAATATCGTTTTCCATTGGATGAAACCAATTACATCACTGATTAGGATTTCATGTAGCACTACATATAAAGAATAAATTACTTTCTCAAATATTATTTTTGCAATGATACATATTAGCACTTTAAAGTTTTTTTAGTAAATAATTTTGTATAAATGATTAATAAAATTTCACCAATTTTATCAAATATTATTTCAATAATTTGCTTATGAGTCTGGTGTTTCTAAAAACATTATTTTTTTATCAAGTATATTACAGTAATAAAATAGTATATAAATCTAGGATATATTTTTATTACTATTATAGTAAATTTTTTAAAAAAATCAATTTATATACTATATACATAATGCACTAATATTTTTTACTATACAAAAACAGGTCACAAACACAATTGCCACATTACAGATTTGTACAGTACCAGACAGCAAAAACCATCTATTTTTTTAAAATCTAATAACTTCACAACAAATAATTATTTTAAAAATCTTTAAACTACAAATCTGTAAGACAAATTTTTGATATCTTGCTTTTTAAAGAAGTTATAAGAGTTTAAAGTTCAGCAACTTTAATAGTAAAGCAGAAATTTGGCACAGGACAATCGACCAATCAGATTGACGCAAAAGACATGCTTGTGATTTAATTGGTTAATATTTATTATTAAAAATCCAAAATTTGGCACTTATTATATAAAAAAATCATTTTATATTTTTAACCAATCAAAATTTTGTTATACAAAAATTAGCCAATCAGAATTGTTATAAAATTTTCAAATTTGGCACTCTAAAAAAAAAAAAATGGATGGTTTTTGCTGTCCGGTACTGTATATATAATAAAAAAAATCTCTTATATAGCTATATATATTATATAATAATGAATTTTTAAAGGTTAGAACCATGGATATAAGGTTTGTAATGAATGCGATCGTCGCAAAACAAACCTCAATAAAGTTTTTGCATATTTTCTGTATACTCAGTTTTATTATTTTATTTATTAGTAGGCCAGTAATAGAGGTAATAATATTATATATGAAGTCTCTGAAATCTGATTTATTATTTAATATTAAAATTAGATTGCAAATAATATAGATAACTAATTAATTATTTTTTAAAAAGCCATTGAAATAAAGTATTCTATATTTTTAACTAAAAATTTTTTTATAAATCACTTAGTAGTAGATGAGTTGTAATAACTAAAGGGAATAATAGGTGTTAAAATTATAGCAGATCAGTATGGTATAGATAAGCATATTAGTATAGTACAGGCTAATTTTTAAAAATATACTATATAGATCTGCAAAATTATAGAAACTAATACTCATATATATAATACCTGATCTGTATAATATAGATTTAAAAATTGGCCTATACTATACTATACTGATTTGCAAAATACTAATAGGTGTTGTATTGTAGTAAATCTCTCTATTGGTAATTTTAAATATAGAGCTTTTAAAGCAGCAATGTGAATGATCAAGTTTTTAAATAAGAGAATATACTAGCTGAACTGCTAGGTGACACACTGGAAAAAAAGAATATATACTTTAAAAGTATGTATTAAGAAAAAGATAACTGTGAGGCATCTAAAGCCTAGGCAAACTGACTTTTTTAAGTTGCTAGCTAGAAGTAAGAGAGAAACTGATAAAGAATCCAGATAAGAAGATAGTTTAAATATAAGTACCAGAGTTGTTGTAAACCTTGCAAGAGCAAGAAGTATATAATAGCAACTAATTAGAAATATTGTAGTTTGAGATATGGATCAGGTTACAGCAGTATTCTAAAAGATAACTTGAAATATAAACTTGGTAATAGTAGCACAAAAGGTACTAGTTTGAAGGAAGTTATTAAACATGCAGGTAAATATATATATGAGACATAGACCACTCTGTTAGATTTACTTTAAAGATAGTAAAATATTTAAGAAAGAGAACTAAATTTAAAGATGTCACAAAAGCTACCAACTATATAGTAAGTTATATCTAAGTTAGATAAAGTTAACTGAATATGTTGTAATTAAAAAGTTTAAATAGATAAATTTGTAGATAGGTTACAAGTATAGCAGATAGTGTAGAACCTTTAGCAGAGCTGTAAATAGACAATAGACAAGCCAATAGACTTAGGGTAGAAATATTTATCAGATGATTTTTTAGGGGGAGAGGAGGTTAAAAAAATTGAAATTTTATATATAACACCTAATCAATCATATATTAAGAGCTAGGGGGGGTAAGCCTCTGATAAAAAAAATCAGTTGATAAATGTCTCTACTCTTAATAGACAGTCTAATAGTTCAATAATGTCTAATTAAGTTATTAGACAAAAAACAAATTATTATATAATTTAAAACAATCTAATTGGTTAATTTTAGATATTAATATATAAAAAACAATTAGTTTAAAACCAATAGACATTAGACTTATTAGACTAATAGAGTTTTCAATAGACTATTAGACAATTTGACAATAATTTTTTGATTAGACTATGTCTATTCACATCCCTGCCTCTAGTATAGCACTAACACTTCAGACAAACTATTTAAATTAAACACTAAAGTGTATATGTAGCTTAATATATCTTCATTATAATATATAGTATATATTATCTACTTGCATATACTGAATCTGTGACAGGTTATTTCGATCACTGAATTGAAAGAGATTAAGTATAGATTTTAATTTACTTTATATTCAATATTTAGTTATACTCATATATCTAAATTTTGTATTGAAAACTTTTGTTTAGAAGTCAAACTATGGTTATCATAGTAAAGTTTTGAATTATTTACTACTTACTGTTTTTTCAATGAGAAAACAGAAAAACTATAAATAACTCAACATTTTACTATAATAGGTATATGAGTATAACTAAATATTAAATATAAAGTAAATTAAAATCTGCATTTAATTTCTTTCAATTCAGTAATCAATATAACTTGTCACAAATTCAGTACATGCTATCTACTTAATAAAATGCTCTGGGTCAAAGAGATCCTTTTTAATATTAAAAAAAAATAATAAATGAATATTTGTATCTGAAAAATTTTTTATTTAAAAACTGTGTTTAGATAAAAATACTATTATATAATATAGTAATTTATTTAGTTAATTTAACAATACCTATTCTTAACAAATAACCTTTCTAAATAATTTAATAATACCTATTTCCCAACAAATATAATTTCTATTTGGGCTCTTTTTTTTAATATATTTATTACTAAATATTTGTAACTAAAAAGCTATTTTTGTTTAAATTTATTTTATTTTTTTTAACACTTTTACTAAAATGTACCTATGGTGTTTTATTACTTAAGTTTCTATTTCTCAAAAATGTATTAAGTAAATAGGATCAGGTACTCTAAATAAAAATGTTCAGGACTTCAAAAACCTTATGAAAACTGAGATTGGGTTTTATATTAGCTCTATATTATACTATATAAAAAAAAATTCTTAATATCCAAACCCTAATTCTAAATTTTATTAAATACAATTATATATAGTGCTGAAACACCATAGGTGTGGTTTATAATAATTGCTTTTAATATATATTTTATTTTTGTATTTTTATGCATACAGATTGAATAATATAATATAAGATTTAATTATTATAAGTATTGTATAGTAAATATTCACTTTTACCCAAATTAGATAGTTTTATTACAAAATTCTAAAAACTATTTTTCTGAAAAATTATAATACCAACTAAATTAGAGAGTTAGAGTCTCATAGCCTAGTAGTCTGGGTGTCTAACTCTCTATAAATGAGATCAATAGTTTGATTACAGCTAATAGTAATTATTTTAATTAATTATCTTTGTAACCTTCAGAAGCTTTTAAATGCGAAATCCTGTGGTGATAAAACCATGTAATATACATATTTGGCTAATAAAGTATTCTTGGAAGGAGCCCCAAGCCATAGAGAAAACTGAGCACTATGTGTGATATGGTCACAAAAGGTAATACTGCAGAAGGCTATGCGTGTGAATTTATGATTGGCAAAGCAGTAATGATAAATGACATATTTATTTGCAAATTTTTCAAATAACCTCAAATAACCTCAAAATGACTAGTCATTATCAGTCATCTCAATTTTGGGTCATTTAGAAATGACTCATGACCAAATGACCATGATTATTTAGAAATGACTGAGTCATTTGAGGGTCATTTAGTCTAAATAAGTAGGTATTTGTATACTCGAGCCCAAGCTCAATAAAAATTTTAATGCCTGACACAACTTATGAATAGTAAATAATCTGGTTGTTTAATCAAGATTTAAACATCAAATCATGACAAGGTCATTAAGCTTATTTATGTAGGTCATTTGCATATAAAATAATTTTATTGGTTAAATTGTTCATTAAAAAGCTATCATTCCTAATCGATGATCGTAGCTATATATGTATTAAAGTCAAAGTTAATTAATATTTATAAATTGACTTTTTAACTTTCATATAAATATAAGTGCAGAAGTGAATTAATAAAATTTCTTCAATTTACATAAAAATTTCAGAATATATGCAATTTATTTTTTTTTATATTAAGCGGTTCTGCCTTTATTTATTTTTTGAACTACTATATGACTATTATACAAAGTACTACATCAAAATAGTATATCGCTCTACTCTAATAAAGACTCACCAGACTTTTAGCCCAATGCGACCTGCCATAACAACTGTTTATCTCTCTTAGGATTTCTAACTTACTAAGAATTTCATATCGATTAAAGATATTCCTTCGATCATCAATTGGCTGTTGTATGCTGTGTCAGTAATGCTTAATATTTGGGCGAACTTTGGCCAGTGAAGACCATGCTGGCTTATTCCCTATGCGATCCACTCTTCAACTATTTTTTCTCCCTTCTTCACTACCTCATATTTACTCTCCTTCAACTTGTTTTTAGCTCCTTTGTTTCTTTTCACGGTATGTTCTGAGCTTTGTGGATCGCTATTTTCTTTGTTTGCCTCATTTGTCACCTCTTTTTTCTTTCTTTTATTTTTGATCCTCTTCTCTATTTTTGCAATAACATGTCTTTCTTCCTATTCAGCTACTAAGTCACAGCGGAAACACCAAATATACTTGCGAAAACAGTTTCTAACATAGTTAAGAATCACTTGGCTGAACTTGCTAACTATTGTTAAATTCTATAGGACCTAGTGTATTTTATCTATTTTTTGTTTCGTGATTAGGCCTTTCATTAGTTCTCTTTTTGCTGCTAATCTTTTTTGTAGATCGCTTCCAAAGATCGTATTTTCTATTTCTTTGGTGTCTGAGATCTTTAGATCTGCTTTTTCTTTCTTGGCCTTTTCTTTAAATAGAATGGTTCCCTCTGCTTTGATAATGCTCTATAGTCATTGTAGTTCTGAACATTCTGCCAAATGATCTTGTGGTTTAGTTTTTTCCTCCCAGCATATCTTGTATTTGTCATCTGGGTAGATATCTGCTCTTCTTTGGTGTAGAGTTTGCATTGTTGAAAGGAGATTGTTTAGGCACTTGATCTTGAACACCTATTTCTTGTTTACCTCAGAGCTTTTGCAGTTGCTGCCTTTAAATTAATCTATGTTGCTCCAGACCTCTTTCCAATCAATTATGCTTGTGTCTCGCTCAGTTTCTACTCACTTGTTTATACTCTTTAGGTTTTTTTACTCTGCATCAATACTAACTGCAGTGAGTTGTGTGATGAAGCTTCTTGTTGCATTGTTCACTCTTAGGTTTTTTCACTTAAGTTCAGATATTGTTTGTTTGTTTATGGCCATTTCGGGGAGATAGGTGTAGCATGTAGAGCACCTTTTTTACAAGAATATTTGCTTCATTGTTTTCTTTTATTCCACTATGTGCTTTAACTTTTTCTAACCTAATTTGTAGCTTTTTTAACTTGACTATGTACTGTATTTGCTCCAAGAGGCATTGATTTTTCTTTTTAACCACATCATATGTCCTTTTTGGGCTTAGGCTTGCTTGAATTGCCTGTATTGCCACTGCACTATTGGTTAGTATTTCAACTGCCGACTTGTATGGAGCTGCTAAGAGGGCTGTCCATATTGCACCTAGCTTGGCTCTTGTAGATGATGGCTAGTCCTTAATTGCACCCTGGAATCTGGCTATTACATTCTTATGTGTTTTGGATCGACATGCTGAAATGGCAACCCAACCCAAACCTATTTTCCTTTTCTCTGGTTCTTCCACTAGGTTTAGCAAAGAGCCATCTGTATAGAATGTGATTCACTTTCTCCCTCTTAACTAAGATGCTACTTCTTTAATCTCACTAATTTCTTCTTCTAGTGGATAAATAGGTATATTCTCAACTGAAGATTCTTGTATACTTCTCGTTATGTTTAGGCTTTCCTCAAATTGCTGCGATGTATCTACAATACTACTAAGTGGAGTGACTAATTTTCATATTTGGTTTTGGGTAGATATCTTTTGTACTATCTTTGGGGAATTCTCTGCAACTTGTTTTTCTTTAGCCTTCTCATACAAAAGATTTCATCTCCTGAGTGCTTCATTAAGCTGAATTTGCAGCCTCTACATTTAACCAATTTGACTGATATTTCTTGTGGCTCTTCTATATGTTTCTAGTATTCTACTAAGATGGTTTTCTTTCCCTTTTTCTTTGCAATTTTCTCTATTACCGTCTTGTTTTTGGCCTTGAGGAGTACTCATTCTTTTTTCCTTTTATTGTTACTTATTAGTACTAAATCTATCTTGGAGGACAGACAATTAGTTGTCTTGGTTTTAAACTCTGCTTTGATTTCTCTGCTTATTAGGTTTTCAATTATCTTTTCCTCTATCTTTTTAACCCATAACAGAGTTTTTTCTCTTGCTTTTTGCCTCTTGTATTTCTTAATCTGGCCCCAAGTAAGCATTTTTTGCCTTGTACTGTCCAGTATCTGCTCTATTACTATAATACCTGTTTCTTTCTTTTGTATAAAGCCTTTTATCATTTTCTCATCCAGCAAATTTATGATTTCTGCTTCAGCTTCTGTAAGCTTTAGGCTTTTCTCTTTTTCTCTGAATCTTATACTTATATTTATGTTTTTTGCTTCGCTCAAAATTTTATATGCTAGGTTTTGTTTGAGCTTAACCTTCTTTAGTCTTGTTGAGTCTAGGCTTGTTATGCACTGAGTGTTTTTACAATCTATCTGAGCTTGTTGAATTCTGATCCATGTAGCTTTGCCAATTTCATTGTTTTTATTTATATATTTTCTTAGCTCTGTGATATGATAGGCCATCTGATTCTGCCAGATAGTTTTAAGGCCAACTATATTTCTATGTACCAAGATTGCATTTGCCGTGGTGATGGCTAAGCCAGATTTGTTTTTAACTAGCTTTAAGATAGGGCTTTGAAGTTTGTTGCATTGCTCTCTTTGATTATACAATGTTGTAAATGGTACTCCAATCTTGGGATAAGTACTCTATTGTTAATATAGATGTTTTTCTTGTAGATTGCTATATTGATTGCTTGTATTTCTTTCTTTGCAATACTTTTAATATGTGACTGACTATGTTTTTTTTGAAAGCCAAATACCAAGAAATCTTGTTAGCTCGCTTGTCTTCTTTTCGAATACTTTTGCTTTTGGTGTGCCAAATTCTATATATCTAGGCTCCTTTACTTTTTTCCTGTCTATTATAAGCAACTCTGATTTCTTGCTATTGATTTCGATATCATTTATTTTATAAAACTCTTGTGCTATACTAATCATTTCTTCTAGTTCTTCCTTGCTAGATGCTACAAAAGTTGTGTTGTCAGCATACGCAATTACAGAGATTCTTAAGCTTTGCTGCAGTATGTGATTTCTGCTCAGATCAATTGGCCAGTTCACTTTAAGTTTATAGCCACGCCTTTTGTTTTCTTGAATTTCTGTCAGCAAGGGGTCATAGAATATCCTCTATATGAGAGGAGAAATTACTTCTCCTTGATCAATCCTATCCCCTGCTACAAATCTTTGGGTAGTTCCTAGGCTTGTTAGGACTTCTATTTCACAGTTATCGAAGAGGTTTATGATGAAGCATCTGGGATTTTGATTCTTTGTAGTATGATTGTAAGCATTTTTAGCCCCACGAAGTCGAATGCCTTCTTCATATCCTGAAATAAGAGCCATATTTCCTTTTTCTTTTTCTTTGCTTCCTCTACTAAGCAGTTAATGAGATATACTGGTGCTACTATGCCCTCTTCTGGGAGGCTCGCGAAATTTCTGTCTCTTAGTCTTCTTTTTTACTAAGAATTTTTGCTAGCCTGTTTGTGATTACTCTTACTACTGTTTTCTGAAATGATTCCAACAATAGAATCGGCTGCATATTGTTTAGGTTGTAACACCAGTCTTTGGTCTTGGGTATTGAGTACAAGATATCTAGTTTTCACTTTTTCAGCATAGTACCTTTTTCTATACACCTGAAAGCAAAATCAAGGAAGAACCTTCTTGTAGTAGAGCTTATGTTTTTTATTAGTAGGTATGTAATACCTGTTTTTCTTGGGCTGACTTGGTTTTGACCTGCTCCAGCGCCTGTTCCCATTCAGCTAGACTAATTTTATTTGTGGTGTCTTTATACCAAAACTCATCTATATCTTCTCATGAAGTATACTGGTTTTTCCACCTTGCTAGCATGGCCTTTATCTGTACTGTATTTCTTGTACAAAATTGCTTTTTAAAGTGTTCTTTGATTTTTTTTAATACGCCTTCTGGCTCATAATTAATTCCGCTTCTTCTTCTGTTTTCTTAACTACTCTGTCTATTTTGATTCTCCTGTGAGGTCAGTTTAGAAGGTTATTGAGCATTTTCCATTGGTTGGTGATGATTATTCTATGCCTTTCTTCTATACTTTCTCTAATTTCTGTTTCTTCAATACTTCTGATTCTTTTGCACCACTCCTTGTGTAGTATTTTTGCCCAGTTTTTTAGACCCTCTGAGCTTAGTACATTTGTTTCATCTTCTATATTATTACCAATCAGAGTATCAACCTTTTCTAATGCACTAAGTATGTTGTTTTTGATTATGTCTTGTAGTGAACCTTTTTTCACTTTACGGTAGCCCTTGTCACATGCCTTTACCACTAGTCTTAGTGCTCGTACTTCATCACTCTCTTTACTAATTTTTGATTTCTGGTGATTTTTCTCTTCTCAAAAGGTTTGTGTTTGCTGCTATTCTGATACATTTTTCAATTATATCCTATTTCTCATCTATGTTCTTGGGTTTGTGCTTGTTCTAGTGATCTTTTATTTTCTTTTCGAGGCTCTCTCTATATTGGATCCAATTCTTTTTAGAGGCCTTACTTAAATCTAAGTTGACTCTTTTTCTGTTTTCTCGCCTTCTCTTGGCTGCCCCTGTTTTCCTTATTTCAAGATCTGTAGCAATGCTTGCTCTTATCAATTTGTGATCACTCATAGTGCAGAGATTCATATCGTCAACTTTGGTATAAATTATACCACTTTTATATCTATCTGATACCCATATGTAGTCAATTATAGTTTCTGCTTTTCTGTTGGAGTACGAGCCAGGTCTTGTACATCATACATATTCTTTTCTTTTAGAAGTGCTATGATTTGCTATTTTATCTTGGACTTAGAACTTGTATTTTCCACTTCACTATCTGCTAGGTCTGGTGTAATAACATTAAGATCTTCCAAGATTATAAATTGCTGCACCTTTCTGTTAGGTTTTTCTAGAGTATCTCTGAGCATATACTAAATTTTCTCTTGTCTTGTTTTGTCATTTAGAGCAACATACAAAAAGATTATAATTATTACCATGCCCTTAAAGTCCAGGCTGAGTTTTAAAAAATATAGGTTGTCTTGTAAAAACTTGCAAAAATACAGATTTTTGCAGAATTTTTTGCAAAAAACTGCAAAATTTTTTATATATTGAAATTTTGTACAGAACTGTATTTAACTTCTGTAACTATAGCCAGTAAGTCTGGAGTTTTGCACAGATTTTCATTTAATTTATTATTAATTTTTTTGCAAATCTGCGCAGAACAGTACTAAAAATTTCTTCCGATGTATGCATAATATGTTGTTTCCAATATTTCTTGATCAGCACCCCCAAACCTGATCCTTTTTATATATCTTCATGTCTTTTGTTGTGAAAATACTTTCTATGCTATTGATGTTGATTTCTCCTAAACCCAAAATGTCTATTTTTTTCTCTTTTGCAAAATCTATTATTGCCTTTAGTTTGTTTTTATTGTTTTTTATCCCATTAATATTATGAAACCTGATATTTAATATCCCGAATTGTTCATATGTTACAACTTTTTCCTCTATTACTTTATAGAGCCTCCTCTCTGGACCTTCTTCTAATGGCTCTCTTTCTTTACCCTTTTGAGGTCTAGAGTGATCATTTAATACACCTTTGGCGCCTTTAGAAGCAATAAGCTAAGGTGCCTTCCACCGAAGCCCCTTTTGATTTTCAAGCTTGTCGAGTTTGTCTAAAATTTGTGACAACATATTATAAATTGAGTTGTTGCCTTTGGGGTCTGAGTTATCTATGAGTTTAGTTTTCTTTTGGTGTCTGGGTAGCTGGTTTTCTTTTTCGTAATCTTTCTTTACCGATTAACTACTGTACTCTGCCGATTTTACTGTATTTCTACTAGTTCTTTGTGCAAGAGCCCTATTAACTTTGGGCTTTCTTTCTTCTTCGCCTATTAAGCCTAGGCCTTCTCTTTTCCTTTTGGTTTTTATATTGCTAAACCCTTCTATTTCTTCTTTTTCTTTTCCTTTTTTTTGGCTAGTGGATCTTGCAGTTGAGTTTTCTTTGTGGAGTTGATTGCTTCTATAGCTTCCTCTCTCATATTCCTCTGCCAAAATTCGCCATTCTTGTTTAGTATTAAAATAGTACAGACCTGCACCTTGGGCTTGTATTATATTTTCTCTTAATTTAAAGTATATATATGCTCTTTTGTTGCGATTACTATGCCAGTTCTCTAAAGTGTAGACTACCTATACCTTGTACTTTTTTAGTTGGCGCAGAAGTAAACTATCATATGCTGTTCTTGGAACATTATAAATCATACTTTTAAATCTGTTTCTTTTTTCAAGCTCTGTGTGTTAAATTTTCCTGGCGTTGTTCTGTATGTCCTACCATATTCTAGCTAAACTAACTAGCTTTCTCTCAATATGCTCTCTTGGCTTTCTATATTGCATACTATTTTGATATATACTACTTTTGTAGAGAAGCTATGTTGCCAGGCCAAACATGTTGCTGGGCCAAAAAATTCTAAGTAGTTCTTGATTTCATTACTACTTATTTCTTTTGGGATATCCCATAATGTGAACAAATACTATACTTTATTTGTATTTTTTTTGTTGCCAAATTTCTCTTTTGGCACCCAGACTGAGTTGTATATATTTTCGTGGCTTTTAGATCTTTTATTATACTTCTTGGCTTCTGGCTTTTTACTGTTAAATACTCCTTCGGCAATTTTCTCTTCGAGTCCATAGTCTGTAGTACTATACTCACTTTTGACTAAAGCATTTATTTTAATCTCGAGATTACTTTCGGCTATTTGT